GTTGAGGTCAGAAGATGACTTTGAGATTGTTGAGGTCAGAAGATGACTTTGAGATTGTTGAGGTCAGAAGATGACTTTGATAACGTTGAGGTCAGAAGATGACTTTGATAACGTTGAGGTCAGAAGACCTCAACGTTGATGACTTTGATAACGTTGAGGTCAGAAGATGACTTTGAGAATGTTGAGGTCAGAAGCTGACTTTGAGAATGTTGAGGTCAGAAGCTGACTTTGATAACGTTGAGGTCAGAAGCTGACTTTGAGATTGTTAAGGTCAGAAGATGACTTTGAGATTGTTGAGGTCAGAAGATGACTTTGAGAATGTTGAGGTCAGAAGCTGATTTTGAGAATGTTGAGGTCAGAAGCTGACTTTGAGAATGTTGAGGTCAGAAGATGACTTTGATAACGTTGAGGTCAGAAGATGACTTTGAGATTGTTGAGGTCAGAAGATGACTTTGAGATTGTTGAGGTCAGAAGATGACTTTGATAACGTTGAGGTCAGAAGATGACTTTGAGATTGTTGAGGTCAGAAGATGACTTTGAGATTGTTGAGGTCAGAAGATGACTTTGATAACGTTGAGGTCAGAAGATGACTTTGATAACGTTGAGGTCAGAAGACCTCAACGTTGATGACTTTGATAACGTTGAGGTCAGAAGATGACTTTGAGAATGTTGAGGTCAGAAGCTGACTTTGAGAATGTTGAGGTCAGAAGCTGACTTTGATAACGTGGAGGTCAGAAGCTGACTTTGAGATTGTTAAGGTCAGAAGATGACTTTGAGATTGTTGAGGTCAGAAGATGACTTTGAGAATGTTGAGGTCAGAAGCTGATTTTGAGAATGTTGAGGTCAGAAGCTGACTTTGAGAATGTTGAGGTCAGAAGATGACTTTGATAACGTTGAGGTCAGAAGATGACTTTGAGATTGTTGAGGTCAGAAGATGACTTTGAGATTGTTGAGGTCAGAAGATGACTTTGAGAATGTTGAGGTCAGAAGATGACTTTGAGATTGTTGAGGTCAGAAGATGACTTTGAGATTGTTGAGGTCAGAAGATGACTTTGAGATTGTTGAGGTCAGAAGATGACTTTGAGATTGTTGAGGTCAGAAGCTGACTTTGAGGTTGTTGAGGTCAGAAGATGACTTTGAGATTCTTGAGGTCAGAAGATGACCTTGATAACGTTGAGGTCAGAAGATGACTTTGAGGTTGTTGAGGTCAGAAGATGACTTTGAGATTGTTGAGGTCAGAAGCTGACTTGGAGATTGTTGAGGTCAGAAGATGACTTTGATAACGTTGAGGTCAGAAGATGACTTTGAGATTGTTGAGGTCAGAAGATGACTTTGAGATTGTTGAGGTCAGAAGATGACTTTGAGATTGTTGAGGTCAGAAGATGACCTTTTCTCAAATTAAGAGACAACTTATATGGAATGAAATGACCAGCAGTTGGGTAGAGATTTCCTTGTTACACAGAACTTTGTATAAAACTATAAATGGTGTGCCTTCTTGGTTTTCCCTCTCATCTGCCTCTCCCCCTTTAATATTTTGTGCCCCTGTTTGTCCAAATTTAGATATCCAGATACTCCAGGTGCTCCTAACGCTAAACATAGTCTTGGGATAGCTGATTGTATCGTGCTTTGTGATACGCCAAGATTGGAACAAATCATTGTTGTCCAAGTCAGAGGGTATTGTGAAGATAAAGGTTCATATTGAGTAACAGGCCTGGTCAGGACACAAGTTCAGGGTTAACTTTGTCTATGCAAGTTTTAAAGGGGGCGTCCCTATGGACGATGAAAGCGTCACGTTGTAACCTTACCAGTTTATATTGACCAATCAGATGACTGAAATACGTCCAAAGAGATGTCAATGATAGAAGCGATGGCGGACGGGATGACGTGCTTATCTGCCCAATGATCACAGTTTTATATGTTCTATGTCCATCTGTTGAATTAGGATGGTTGGTGGACAGTGTCCAGCCTGTGGGCATCGTACGGTTGGTGGACAGTGTCCAGCCTGTGGGCATCGTATGGTTGGTGGACAGTGTCCAGCCTGTGGGCATCGTACGGTTGGTGGACAGTGTCCAGCCTGTGGACATCGTACGGTTGGTGGACAGTGTCCAGCCTGTGGACATCGTACGGTTGGTGGACAGTGTCCAGCCTGTGGGCATCGCACACACTACTGATCAGAAGCTGTATTAAACCATCTTTATAAAGCGCAGTAAGAAAATATATATATATGTAACGTCCAGACTTCTTCCGTATAAAATGATGTGCCTGTCACCCGCAGTCTGTGGAGGCGGCCATGGAATCAGCAACCGCCGTCGAGCAGAACGGTGCGGCTGACCCCTCCCCCAGCAGTGTCTATGTTATGGGTCACTTTAACTGAATTAATGTATGAAGCAGTGTGTGAACAAATGCAATATATGTAACAAGAGGAGCGACCGAGCTATGGACGACCGCTACACTGCCCTCTCCAGTTTTGTCCTCATCAATGGTGCTTACGTTGTACAGAACCCTAGCTTTTCGGATGGGAAAACTATAACAAAATGTTTGTTTTTTTTGTCTCTGGCATATTTAAATGATAAGGAATTCTTACCGACTTCCCCTGCAAGGTTTTTATTTGTTGAAGAGTTATCTGAAAACATTTGTACCACTGTGAGCAAACATCGAGGAGTCTATTCATAAGCAATTCGCAGAGCCATTCGATCTGTGCGAATAAAGGCAAAACAACTAATTTTAATTGAGTTGAATGTCATTTCGAATGTAATACTATATTATGACCACTAGATGGAGATGACGAGCACAGGAAACAAGTATTTATCTTGTATGCTCCTCATCTCCATCTAGTGGCCATACCGCCGTATTACGTTCACAAAGACATTCACAATATATCGAAGAATGTTCGTTTTTGCATCTATTCGCAACAGAACGAAGGCTCACAGGGCGAATTTGTTTATAAATAAAGGATGGACACCGGCACTCCAAAGCAAATCCTGTACGTCTATTTATTCACGTACTGGTTGCAAATGCAAA